ATATTATTCTTGTACTGAATTTTTGGGATCTTGACTATTATGGGTGTGTTTTTGATTGGGTTCATGTTAGTTGAAATTCTATATGCTTCAGTTACCTGAATGTCAGATTGTTTTCCCATATTTGGGAAGTTTTCTTCTATTACTTCTGCCCATATTCTTTTTATATCATTTGTATTGACTCCTTCTTTCTCATTTCATTCGTAATGACTCCTTATTTGTCATTGATGCCTATTAGACTTACATTGTTTGTCTTTGCATCATCTTGCAGGTGTTGCACTACTTTTTCCTTCATCCTAATTGCTTTTAAGAGATCTTTTAGTATATTTTCTCTAGCTGAAATGGTGTCTTTAAGGTCTGAAACTTGATCTTCACTTTCATTTGAGTGGTTTTGTCAGCTTGTGATTGGCATTTTAAGTTCCTCTATATCTCTTTACCTCTGCTTCATGCGATGTATTTCTTTCCTATATTGCTCAGTCAAGGATTCATAGTTTTGTATTCCCCTCTAATTTTTTATCAGTGTCTTCTTTAGATGCAGTTATTAATTCTTTGATTATAGTTATCTTTTCATTTTTTTACTTCAGAGATTATTTCTGATCTGATTTCCTCTATACCTTTCGGCAATTGTTTCTTTACTTCAGATGCTATTACTTCAGAGATTTCAGGTGTGTGATTCCCAATTTCTTCTGTGCTATTGTCTCCTGCATTTGTTCTTGGTGGGCTCAGGGCCTGAGATTGCATTCTGCTCCTTCTCTTTGTCATTTTGTATAGTACTGTCTTTTGACCCTTTGTGTAGCTGTTTGATGCAGTTATAACCTTAGCAGCTACCAAAATTCTTAACCAAGAGACATTATATGGTTAAGTCAGTTGTGGTTTTGTATTTGCAGAACTACAATTAGAAACACTAATAATAGATAGTGATATTTAGCAGGTGACAAACTTTTGTACCTAATGTGTTTGTATTTTAGACAGTAAGAGCAAGTATTATGTCTGTATAGCTAATCAGATGTTAAATTGGGAATTCATATTTAAGTCAATTCCCCTAGGATCTGTCTGATTACCTCCCCTTGAAGTATGTGGGGTCTTCTAGGCACACTAGTTCATCCTGGTTACCTTTTCCCCCTCTCTCAGTCAAGAGAGGAAGAGGGAGGATGCCCTTATAGATCCGGCCCTAGAAAAGTGTCTCAGATTATCGGGTCTGGATGTACGAAGTTTGAACTCATCCGGATGCTCATTGCTTGGGTCTAGCTGCTATGCTCAGTTTCTTTCTATTGCAGCCCGTGGAAGTGAACCAGCTGTGCCCATCTGACAGGATTTTCTGCTCCTGAATTAGCTGGGTTCTTCTGGCCCCTAGCCTCTGTGCAGGGACTTCAGCTGCTGAGTTTCACATCAGTCCTGTCATACAGGCCTAGGCTTGGGGCTGGAGGGTCCCTAGAGCATGGCAAAAGGTCTTCCTCACATGATGGGCCTGGGCTGGGTCCAGAAGGATCTTCTAGGTGCAGGAGAGCAGAAGCTCACCCACACACACATCGGGTCTGTGCCAGGTCTGGAGGGATCCCAAAAGCATGGTGGAAGTTCTCACTCATGCACTGGGCCTGGGCTGGGTCTCCATGTTCCTCTTTAAAGATGAGAATTATAATGATGAAAAGTCAAATTACAAGTTGAATATAAAAATTTAATTGGATTTTATTCAACAAACTAGAATCCGGCATCTCTCAGATATAAAAACAGATGTAGACTTCCGGTGTAATGGCGGCGCAGTAGAGCTTTAGTGTTTGTAGATAGAAAAAGTAAACCTTCAAGGAATTCAGACCACTAAGTACTTGTAACTTGGACCAACTTGAGTTCTGACTTAACAGATCAACTGGCAGCAGAAAATGAAAAGTAGCGTGGCACAGATCAGACATTCTTCTGGTCATGACAGAAGAGAAAACTATAACTCTTATCAGAGGACCTCTTCCGCTGAAGACAGATATACAGATGAGAACGGTCCCCCCAAGACAGAGATCACTGTGATTACAGCAGGTCAGACTATGAACACTCAAAAAGAGGACATTCTTATGATGGTGTGGATTCCCAAAGCAGGGACCGAGAGAAACGCAGAGTGAGAGAGAGAGATGGAGAAGAAGAGGTCCCGGGAATCCCTATCTCCAGGGAGGAGGAGCCCATATGCCTCAGCACATCAGGGTTCAACTCACGATGAGTCTGCTGCAAAGAAGAAGAAAGACGAGCTGGACCCGCTCCTTACCCGCACCGGTGGAGCGTACATTCCTCCTGCCAAACTCAGGATGATGCAGGAGCAGATTACAGATAAAAACAGCTTAGCATCCCAGAGGATGAGCTGGGAGGCCTTAAAGAAGTCAATCAATTGTCTTATCAACAAAGTCAATATTTCCAACATAAGTATTATTATCCAAGAGCTTCTTCAAGAAAATATAGTCAGAGGAAGAGGACTGCTGTCCAGATCTGTTACAAGCCCAGAGTGCATCGCCCATCTTCACACACTTCTATGCAGCCTTAGTGGTGATTATCAACTCAAAGTTTCCACAAATTGGGGAGTTAATCCTCAAGAGGTTAATTCTTAATTTTCGAAAAGGCTATCGAAGAAATGATAAGCAACTTTGTCTGACTGCTTCAAAATTTGTAGCACATCTCATTAACCAAAATGTGGCGCATGAAGTTCTGTGCTGAGAAATGCTCACTTTGCTCTTGGAAAGACCCACAGATGACAGTGTTGAAGTTGCTATTGGTTTTCTTAAGGAATGTGGCCTCAAATTAACACAGGTGTCCCCAAGAGGAATCAATGCAATTTTGAACGCCTTCGAAACATTCTGCATGAATCTGAAATTGACAAAGAGTTCAGTATATGATTGAAGTGATGTTTGCTGTATGGAAGGATGGATTCAAGGACCACCCAGTCATCCTGAAAGGACTTGACCTCATTGAAGAAGACAATCAGTTCACTCATATGCTCCCCTTGGAGGATGACTACTATCCAGAGGACGTTCTCAATGTGTTCAAGATGGATCCTAATTTTATGGAGAATGAAGAAAAGTACAAAGCTATTAAGAAAGAAGTATTTGATGAAGGAGACAGTGATTCAAACACAGACCAAGAGGCAGAAAGTAGTGAAGAGGAAGAAGAAGAGGAAGAGGAAGAAGGAGAATATGAAGGAACTAGAAAAAAGGTACATTCATGTTGAATGCATGTGATGGATGTAACTGTGGCAATAATGTGAAGATGTGAATGCGTAGTTATTTGCTGTTCCTCTGCCAAGATAGAGTGGGGAGGCCAAGCGCTGTGTTTCTATAGAAGCAAGCATGATGTTCTTCCTCATCAGCTTTCATTACATCATTGCACAGAGAAATAAGCTTAGAATTTTACTTTGGTTATACTCAGTTAATGCATCAGAACATACATAAACTGTCATTATTTATGTGGATTATGTATTTGAAAATATTAAAAGGTATCTTTCTTTAAAAAAAAAAAAAAAAAACACATGTAAAGAACTTCCAGTCTGCCGTCACCCAAGCAACTTTTAGGGACAGAAGACAGACTGAATTGGTGACAGGTTTTGCTTTATTTATCTCATATCACCATCTACAATTGGCTGAAGTTCAGCTGCTGTAATTGATGAGAACTTAGTGACTTGTTACAAGAACACTTAAAATTAGGCTGTCAATTGGTGTGTGTACCAAGCCAGTTTGCAATTTTCTGTACAACAATTCAATTACAAAGGCATCCTCAGTGTACACTTAACACCAGTCCATGTTACATCTACCTCCTTTTGAAACAGTTTCATTTACAACTTTCCTTCAGCACACACCACACACACACACACACACACACACACACACACACACACACACCCTGGAAGAATGGTTTGAAAATTCAAGCTCAGAGTGGCATAATCCTTGTGATCACCATAAAATTTTCACAATGCTTACTTAACATTAGAGAAAGGTGAGGAGTTTGTCCACTTACCAGTCAGTTTCATGAGTGTACATCTTTTGGGGTTACAGAAGCTTCCACGCCAAGAAGGATTTTATGCTTTACTTACTGGTTGAATCTTTCTTAGATTGTTAATATTTTTATCATACAACTTTTGCATTCTAAGTGAATTCCAATTGGACAAAGGAACATGCAATTGAGTGGAGGATGACTTTCTTGTGAGGCCAATCTCATCATTTCTAATCATGAGATCCTTTTTTAATTTTTGATCAGGGTCTTTCTATGCAGTTCAGATTCATACTGATCCTGCTTCAACCTCTCCAGTGCTGGGATTACAGGGTGCACCATCACCCCCAGTTCCAGGACTGCACAGTGCTCCCAGACATCCTGGGCCAGCGTGACATGTAGCATCAGGGATCAAACCTGGGTCCTTGGGCTTTCCAGTCTGGTGCTTGGGCCATCAACCTGTCTCCCCATCCCATGAGAACATATTAAGCCAGTATTTTCTGGAAGTAGGGATGGGAATAAATGACAAAGATTAAAATCAGCAGGATTGCAAAGAGAATGACTTTGAGTTACTACTGGCAGGGAAAGAGGACTCAGGTATACAACTTCAGGGCCTAAATTTTGACAACCTTTTAATGGTGATGAAAGTTAACTATTTTCCATAGCCTCATATAGTGTAGTTTAGTGGAGATTTCTTTCTCTCTCTCTCTCTCTCTCTCTCTCTCTCTCTCTCTCTCTCTCTCTCTCTTTTTGCTTTGTTTTGACAGCAAAAAGTAAAAGAATGGCTAGCCAGATAGCTCAGTAGAATAAAGCACCTGCTTAGACAGAGCAGAGTAGCCTGGGTTCCATTCCCAGCATGCCGTGCTTTCCCCATCCCTGGGGTGCTCTGAAATAGTGATTTGCATTGGGTATGAGCCTGTAATCCCAGAGCTTGGGAGGCTGAAAACAGGAGAATCACTATGAATCCAATCTATGTAATGAAACCCTGTAGAACCTGTAATAAATACATTTTAAAAAACAGTAAAAGAAATATTAGAAATGATACAATACTTACCTGGAAGGGAAGATACCATGATCATGAAGGTGGTTTTCCCAGGGCGTGACTTATTCATTACACTGTGGATTGGTTGACCTCTGTGATTTCCCCAAATGTGGGAAACTGAACTGCATAATTCATGGTAGTGTGGCCGGGGAGATAGCTCAGTTGAATAAGCACTTGCCTGGCAAGCACAAGGACCTGAGTTCAATCCTGGCTCTGCAAAAACAAAAACAAAAACAGAAAGAAAAAGGAAAGAAAAAGAAAAAGAAATGATACAGAGTTTCACTGAACAGACTGATAGGAATTCCACAAGGGTTGTTAATTGCATATTGTTGTCTACAAATCAGGTGCTCAGATGACAAGATGTAAGCAAGAAACATTGATCAAAAAATTAAAAAGAAGAGAAAAATGTTTAAGCATTAACTGTTCCTTTAAATATAGCAGTAGAAATTAGCAGTACAAGTATCCAATCTATCTCATGTATGTATCTATGTATTTTTCCCTTCCTTCTTTCTTTTTTTTGTCTTTCCCTCCCCCCAGCTGTGCTTTGCCTTTAAACAGTTTCTTTCCCTTTCACAGTGTCTATTGTAACTTTTGGATTTCATTTACTCTTTCAGGTTCTTACACTAGGGGCAACAAAACTCCTCTTGGGACTGAAAAAGAATGTAGAAAAACCAGGTTAGACTACTGACCTGAAAACACTGAGATATTAATTGAGTGTGTTTAAAGTGAATAAAGCTGTGTGAATAGAAAGCTAAGATCAATCACATGAAAAGTTACCTTAATTGATCATATGTGTTTCTTAATAATGCTATTCTATATTGCTTCCTACACTTCTAAATGGAGAGGTGTTTACCTGTCACTGGGAATTTCAGAGATTAAATTTTCATTGTGTTACTTTACAGAGATTTTCATCAGGAATATATATTGCTAGGTATAACCCCACACAATAAACCAGGCCAGGTATTCTGACATGAGTAGATTTTTTTTTTTTGGGGGGGGGCAAGCAGGCTGACTGTTTAGCAGACCAAGATAGCAGTGAATAAAGAGGCGACAGAAGACTTTATAGGATCTTTTAGGGAGGGTGATTCCTGGCTGGAACAGCTGAGGGAGAACTAATCTTGGCAAGGATATCTGGTCTGTGGGGGACCCTTAATGTTAACAAAGGAGAGTTTTGTGGTTGCTTGCCCAGGTTAAAGTCAGGTGGACCAGTTCTTTGATTTTGGGTTTGGCTCTGTGTGGGGCCAAGGGGGAGAGAATTTGGAGACAGGGTGCCTGGAAAACCTAGAGGGACAGTGTACACGGTAAGGTGCCTGGGAAACTTTGAATCCTGACCTATTATCCCAGACTCTATTTGAAAGAAAAGGGGTGAAAAAAATCATCTAGATATTTCCTGCTGAACAGAGACATCATGGGGCCATGAGTCTGGAGATCAGGGTGAGGAGCTGTCGTCATTGGAGGGGTCATGTTTGATAAAACCTGATAGGAGTAATCTGAGGGAAGTATTTGGTTAAAAATTTTGGGTTATTAATCTGCTGACAGTATTGATGATGTGAGAAATGAAGCAGAAGGTTATCATGAACATAATAGCAAGCCCCACGAGGGGCCCTAGAAGGTGAGTGAGGCAAAGGAAGACAGAGTTCTATGTAGAACAACTGTGTGTCTATTTTGTGTTGCTTGTCTGGAGGTGTGTTGAACAAGTGAGATTGTGAGAGGAGGGGAGGTTGGTGGTCTGGGTAGAAGCAAGAAGGGAGTCTATGATCTGAATGTGTCATTTTATGATGACCATGTTGAAGGGGAGGAGTAAGGAGATGGCAAATGATGGGCTTGAGTCCCCTCGGACCTTTGGGGGCTACTGAGTATTGGGAAATGGAGGGAAAGGCCATGGGATCTCTGAGGTACATCAGTGTAGGGATAGCATATGTGGTATCAGTGAGACTGGAAATGTTTCAGAGTATGTGGATAGCATATGTGGCACAAGTGGGACTGGAAGTGTCTCAGAGTGCCAAGAGAAGGAGGAGGGAGGAGCTGGCTAAGCATTGAGGGTAGGTTTATAGGACAAGCACTGTGGGAAGACAGGTGAGAGAGACATAGAACTTTTGGAGGAAGTCTCCCCCCATGAGAGTATGGAGTATGTTGGATTTATAAGGACATTATGAGTGAAGAACAGTATCTGGAGTGAGCAGGAATGAGCCTATCTGAAGCTGTCATGTAGGTCGGTCATCAATACTCACTGTGGAGACTATAGATCTAATATAGAAACTTTTGAACTCAGTAAGAATACTATATGTGGTGTCCGTGTCACCATGAAAAAATGTGGTTTTGGTTTTTGTTTTTAATCTGAGTTGTCCAGTGAGACTTGGGACTGTGACAAAGATACTTTGATATGGGTCACGGACCTCAAGTTCTGTTGTTCCTCTTCAGCAGCAACACCAAGCAGATCAAGCACCGATGGATCTGGCTGTAGTGAGTTTTCCTGTGAGGGCAAGGAATTGGATGACTTACCTGCTCTCTGGTGGACAGGGCAGTTGCATGTCCAGTGGCCCTTGAGTTTGTAGGTAGAACCAAGTTTACAAGTTGGCTCGTGCCCGATGTCCTTCTTTGCCCCCCTTGCAGGAAGAGCTCAGGTGGCAGCAGTGTTTAGGCTCAGCACCACCTTGTTAAGGTCCTACTGTAATGGGAGTCCTAAGTGCCACAGCCAAAAGTTGTCACTCGTGTATGGTTAATTTTGGTCTCTATTATTGAAGACAGGGAAAGTCAGGTTAAGTAAGTTTCCTTGTGAGGTTTGAGGGCCAAGACTTGTCTTTTTAGCTTGGCATGAATCTCATGAGCAAATCAGGATACAAAATAGGAATTAGTTGTTATTATTAGCTATTAGTTGTGTTTTTTTTTTTTTTTTTTTTTTCTTTTCTGGAGAGCAATATACTTGATTATCAAACACTTTGAAATAGAAAGTGTGACCAGAGAACTGTTACTTCTTATCAACCACAGATATTTTAGCCGTGAAATTCTTGTATAATGTTAACAGACAGAGAACATTTGATATCAGCAGTTATATGCAGTAGTTTCACTTAACAGTCATAACAGATGAGGAGAAATTTATCATTTAACTGATGACCTCATGTTGGCTTGACATGAACCTCTTATTATAAATATCTGGAGCACAAGAAAAAGGCATGAATATATTTAAAGTAGCAATATTTATGAGAAAACCTTATTTTAATTTTATTGCTCCTACCAAGTTATTAGGGGGGTCTTCTGAGGAGACTTTTGGGGTCTCCATTGGTGAACAAAGGTTGTCCATCCTGTATCCACCAATCAAGAATACTGTCCAACAATATCTTCCCATTTTAATGATTTTTGTTTAATTATGAATTAATTTTGATATTATTTAGGCCAGCTGGTAACTGAGGGCAAAGCAGACTTTTAAGTCTATATTTTTATTATTTATTTGTTTATTTATTTATTTATTTATTTATTGGTGGTACTGGAGATTGAACTCAAGACCTTGTGCTTGCCAGGTAAGCACTTATTTAACTGAGCTATCTCTCCAGCCCTTAAATCTATATTTTTAGAACTCAAAAAAAAAAAAAAAAAAAAAAAAAAAAAGAGGAACAGCTGTTGACAGAACAACATATAAACATACATGACATACATTAGTGCTTTTACAAAATCAGAGTATACTCAAATATATTTCTGGCCAGGTTAAATTATGATGACCTGTTCAAGTTTGTAACTATGAGAGACTAGTCAGAATGTTTGTAGGTCAATTAGCAGAGATCTTTAATAAGAAGAATTTGAAAAATGTATAAACCTCTTATTTATAGTTATACAGTTTGAGTAGGAGTAAGCAAACTCAGCAGAGTATGAGAATTAGGCACATCACAATAGAGGAGCACTGACAACTCACAAGACCTGGACTTGAAAGCTGGCAAGAAGGCTGTAAAGGGAGTGGTGGGAAGCTGTGACTTAAAGTCTCTTTGTTGGGGCTCTAACAGGAGGTTGACTGCCAAGGTCGCTGAGGAGCAAGGGGGAGTGAGAGTAAGCATCAGGCCCAACTGGGAAAGGAAGGATGAATGGGCGTTATCCTGCATTCAACTGGATAGCAGAGGGAGGGGCACACGCTGTTGGGGGGAAAATGTGTTATTAGCTGTTTTCTGTAACTGGAAGGAGGTGGTGAGTAAAGGACATGGCCCAACAATTTTGGAACTGGGAGGGGAAGCCACTCATTCTTAGCAGGACACAAGGGTAGTAGCCCTCTGCCAAGGACTGTGGAGGCAGCTTCCCCTCAATCTAGGACTAGAAATCTTTGTGGGACTCAGCTCACCTGGACTGGTGTTGGATGCAGGCTGGTAGCAGCAAATAGGCAGGTTCCAGAGGAGAGCAGCTTGGTAGATTGACAGAGGGCTCAGGACTCGGGGGCTGAGCCTGCAGGAGCCTCACACCCTGCCCTTCAAGTGGTAAAGTGGGGAGGCGCTTGCTAGGGGCTAAGAGGATCTGTTGAGCGCTTCAAGATAGGTGATTTCAGAGGGAGAGGAGAGCAGCATAGGGGACCTTGGACTATTTACCCTTGAGGCATCAAAGGTTAGCTAAATCAAGGTAACATAATTAAGGTCTTATAACTCAGAGTTCTTGGGGGTGGGGAGTGACAGTCTCATTGTCCATCTTGTATTGTGGCCAGGCTGTTTGGCAGAGAAAAATTAGACATTTGACTTTGAGGTCAGAGAAGTCTAAGGGGCTCCGAAGGACAGACTTAAGACAGTGTAGGTCAGAAGAATAGGTTTTTTGTTTTTGTTATTGTTTTTTCCAGTATTCGGGATTGAACCCAGGACCTATGCTTGCCAGGCAAACACTTACTCTACTAAGTCATCTCCCTGGCCCATAGAAGAATAGCTTTGAGAGGATATTGAAGAAAAATTCCCTGCAATGGCGAGAAAATGGTGTGGAGGGTGAGTGATAGGAGACTGAGGACAATGATCTTGTTGTGATAGTCCCAAAATGGAAGTAGAGCTAAAGCCCTCCAAGCAGACATCCCCAGTTAGAGAGGAGGCTAAGTAGAGGGAAGGAGTGGCTCAGCTTGTTGGCATGACTTTGTAGAGTAGGGCCAGAGGTGTAGACAAGCCATCCAGAGTAGAGATCGTCATACTCAGGGTAAAATCAAGATGAAACA